CGCCTCTCGTTTCATACAAGTGATCAGATCACTTGAAAACGAGCGGCGGCTCCACACTGTACACTTAGCTCTGCTTGTCCGGAGCGGGGCTGAGTGTACAAAAAAAACTACTCGCCCGGCGCCCGAAACTGCATGTCCCGGGCGTCGGGCGATAGGAATTCCACACCCCTGATAATGTACTGTATATAAGAAACCCCTGAAAGGTATTTTATACTCTTAAAGAGAAGTATTGGGAGAGTAAAATACTCTCTTCCCAATATTTAGAGCCGGCGTGGGACACTGCAGCTGTCACGCACAGCCTATATGTACCGAGAGCTGAGTGATTACATACCACTGATCGCTCACCTCACGGTCTCCTTCCTGCAGAGAGCAGCGGCTGTCCGTCAACACTCTCACCAGGGATTCAACCTTCCTCTCTCTGTTCCTCCAGCTCTCATTGGAGGTACAGACAGGGAGATGGTGGGCACAGCTAGCTCTGGCTCTAGAGAGGCAGAGCCAGCTGTCAATCAGGCAGCTGGGTGAATCTCAACAATATACAGCTACAGCCTGGCTCTGCACTGGTGGCATATAGCAGGAAGGAGACAATTTTATGCTGACTTTGGGTCACAGGAATACATTATTAAATGTGCTCCTCTTACTCAAATAAGTTTGTCTTTTTAGTTAGATCATCCCCATTTCCATGTTTCAGGTTTATATGCATCCAAGAATACTGTGGCTGATTTTAATGCAGATTGTTTAAAAAATGGTAAAGTAACTTATAATTCATAGTCTAAATATACAGGGGTGTCAATCGGTTGTTTATGAAGGCCAAGCGTATTTTTGTGCCAGAGAACAGTGTCCATAAATAGAACACAAACCTAGTGTTGAAGTAACCGACAGGTCACATGTTTACAATCCCATCATCTAACACATTGGTTCTCAACTGGTGGGTCGTGACCCAAAAGTGGGTTGCAACCCTGTGTTCAGTGGGTCGCGCATGCCTTCCACTTTTCTAGGCGAGAGGCTCCTCTGCCTCCCCCTAGCCCAGCACTGTCAGTTCTTGGGCCAAGCAGCCATTCAAAATATGCTACTCAGTGCCGAGCTTGAGGTGGGATGGGTCTATGGCTGTGAGGGAGCTCCATCCATATATGCATTGCTTAAAGCTCCCTCACGTGTCCTGTAGAGGTGCCTGTACCGGTGTGACATCACATTCTGGCTCCCACCATCTCTACAGGGCACGCAAGCAATGCACATATGGATGGAGCTCCATAACAGCACAGCAGCCCAGCACTGGGCGACAGGACAGGGCGACAGGACAGGACAGGGCGACAGGACAGGACAGGGCGACAGGACAGGACAGGGCGACAGGACAGGACAGGGCGACAGGACAGGACAGGGCGACAGGACAGGACAGGGCGACAGGACAGGACAGGGCGACAGGACAGGACAGGGCGACAGGACAGGGAGCGACAGGACAGAGCGACAGGACAGAGCGACAGGACAGAGCGACAGGACAGAGCGACATTTAAAAAGCTAAAAGAAAGATTTAAAATATGAAGCTAAGGCATAAAGAAAACAGAGTATGTCATTTTTTTAAGCTGTAGAACATATGCAGATTGGGAAGAAAGAAAAACACTTCTGCATATTACAACATGTTGACTGTCTGCAAATTTCACAGCAGAAAATGATATACCTCCAATTTGCTTTTATCAGCAGCAGCTTGCAGAGAAGGAGAGGATGCCGAAGGCTGAACAGGATCAGAAGAGGACGTCTGTACAAAGCAGATGAAAGGCATAAGAAGAGAAGCAAGACAGATGATCAGAATTAGTAAACGGCTAGGCAGGCAAGGCAGCATATGATCTCATTTTCTCAGTTGGTACAAAGCACCTGGAAAAGTCACACAGGAAGAGCTCAAAGTATTCTGATTGGAGCATGCAAGAGGAAGACTTACCTGTCTGCTGATATGCATGCAGCATAAAACATGAATGTGTACGTATATACGTGTGTGTGGCATATTGCATTTTCATACATATTTCATATACCAGGCAACACGTTTGTATTGATAACCATTGCATCAAGCAGGGTAAGTGCTTCAACACCCAATTTAAATGGTATTTATTAGGGACAGATTACCGATAGAGTAATTAGAGTACGAGTACCGATACCTTTCCTCAAGTACTTGCCAATACCAATTACTGATACTTTTGTTTAGTGTCATGTGATAGCTTTTCTAAAACAATACAGACTAAAGTAATGATTTTTAGGACAGGAGTAAAGTGCCAGGGCCCAGTCCCAGCTGCAACCCAATACACATTGCTGTGTAATGTGTATTGCTGAGATTTGTAGTCCCTCTACAGCTTGCCACTAACGCCAAGCTGTAGAGGGTACACAAATCTCAGCAATACACATTACACAGCAATGCATTATAGATCAATGCAGAATAATATGAAGCTACATACTCTGTTACTCCAGGGTGCCGGCCTGATGTCTTCAGCGTAGGATCTCAGGTGGCTATGTGGGATCTGTGGTTGGCTGTGCAGGACCTGTGGTGAGCTGTGCAGGGTCTATGCTGGGCTGCACAGACTCTCAAGTGGGCTGTGCAGGTTCTAGTGGCCTGTCCAGGATCTATGGTGGGCTGTGCGGACTCTCAGGTAGCTATACGGGGTCCATGGTGGGTTGTGTGGCTCTATGCTAGCCTGTGTGGAGTTATGGCAGGATGTGCGATCTTACACAGGCTCCTGATGTACTCATGAAAATGCCCAGTATTGGCACCGATACCGTTATCGGTGTATCTCTAGTATCGACAGTGGGTATAGAAAATAATCCTCCCCCCCCCCGTTTAAAATAATCATATTTTGTTGCTTTGCAGCCTGAAATGAAGACAGACACCGTTTTTGTTTTATCCAGCTGTATGCACTTGCAACTTATAACATCCAAGAGAAAGATAACACCAACTGGTCAGAAAAAAAAAAAAATTCAAGAAATTCAAAAATAGAATCACTGAGTTGGAAAAAGGATTACCCCCTTCTAAAATGACTTGTAAACTCAATCAGGGGTAGCTCATCACCTTCTCAAATGGCACACAAAGTATTCAGTATTCAACTGAATTCAGCTGTGGTTATTTTGATTTGCTCAGCATGAAAATAACTTTCCTGGAGCATTTCAGTCCCTGGTAGTGCAACTGAAGCAAACACTCAACTATGGGTGGCAAGGCACTGTCAAAAGATCTCCGGGATAAAGTTGTGGACAGGCACAAGTCAGGAGATGGATACAAAACTATTTCAAAGGCTTCATCAATGTCTTGAAGCACAGTGAAGGCTATTAAGAAGTGGAAGGTAATTGGTACAACACAGACCCTCCCTGGATCAGGATGTCACTCCAAACTGGATGAAAGAGCCAGGAGGAAACTGGTCAGAGAGGCTACCAAGAGGCCCACAGCAATTCTGAAGCAGTCACAGAAATGTATGACAGAGTGGTCATTGTGTGCATGTGACAACAATATCACAAATTGTGATGAAATGTATGAAAAGGTTGCAAGAAAAAAAACCACTCATCAAGAAAAGGCCATATGCAGTGAAGATTCTGAGGCCCGATGGAAAAAGGCGTTATGGTCAGATGAGACTGAAAGTGAATTGTTTGGCCTCAATACCAAACAATATATCTGGCGGAAATCCAATACAGCTCACCATCCAAATAACATTCCTACAGTAAAGCACGGAGGTGGTATATCCTGTTATGGGGTATTTCTCTGCAGCAGAGACTGAATCACTTGTCAGGATAGAAGGACAAATGGATGGGGCAAAATACAGTCACATTCTTGAGGAAAATCTGCTGCCCTTTGCCAGAAAGTTGTCAATGGGAAGAAGGTTTACCCAAAGCACATAGCAAAATGACCAGTGGCTGAAGGAGAAAAAGGTGAATGTCCTTTCTATGGCCTAGTCAGAGCCCAGACTTGAACCCCATTGAAAATCTGTGGAATGACCTGAAGACTGCAGTCCACAAATGGTCACCATCAGATTTAACTGAACTTGAGCAGTTCTGCAAAGAAGAGCGGGCAAATATTGCAAGGTCTAGATGTGCAAAGTTAGTACAGACATATCCCAACAGATTAAAAGGCTACAATTAAAGTAAAAGGTGGTTCATCAAAATACTGACACAAGGAGGTGATCCTTTTTCCAACTCAGTTATTGTTTGAATTTTTTTTTGTTTCCTGACATGTTGGTGTTATATCTTTCACTTGGATGTTATAAGTTGCGCCGAGCAAATGCAGCTGGATAAAACAAAAACTGTGTGTCTTCATTTCAGGCTGCAAAGCAACAAAATGTGAAAATTTCTAAAGGATTCTTTTCTATACCCACTGTATGGTCAAAAACAACAAATACATATTTATTTAAGTTCTATCCCACTTCTAAAAGTCATAAGGGTCTAGAAGTTTGAACTTATTGTAGATGCCCATAGGATGCACAGTACTTCTTCAATGCAGTGACACAATTTCACGTAGCCCTGTGAATATGCACCATATATCACAACTCACAGAGCCTGCCTGCTGAACTACAACTAAACATCTGAACAATGTATCATCATCATTGCTTGCTAGAAGCAATGCATGGTGGGATATGTAGTCTTGAGAAATCGAGATTGCATCATGTTAAGCAGCAGGGAAAGACACACATAGTACATTGGGAATCCAGGAAGTTGTTCAATGTGATGGGCAGAAATGTGAATGTACTAGCCATTGCACCACAGGTCTAGTGCTTTTAAAAATGGGATTAGAGCTCTCTAATGCTGCTCAGAAGTAGAAAACCTCAAACATTTCTCAGACACACAAATTAGTATGAAAGACATCCACATAGTTTTCAAATAGCCCATTGTAGTATCAGCTAAATAACTACAGCTCTGATAACTCCAGCCTACATTTTTTGGATATAGTGCAGAAAGATATATAACCTGTTAACTGTCTAATCTCCTCTGTGGCAATTTCCCCTAGCTTCCTGTTCTGAGTCAGGGGGACATAAGTGACAATGGGAAATAAAGGGTATAAACAAAGGGTATAATCTGATAGGTGCCTATGGGTAAAAGAGGTTCTATGTAATAGACGTGTATGATCTATATGTAATTAGGCATGCAAGATCCTCCCGTGTAAGCTCCAAGTTGGGGCATTCGTCCTCAAAGTTAGTCACATGTGGCATTTTTAGCGGAAAAAAGCCTGCTGACAAGTGTACCACTGTAGTCAATGCCACTATTCTTATCTTTGCATTTTCCTCTTGCACTTCAAATACCATCGATTGTAATGGCAGAGATGTCATCATGCATTTAAAGAAGAACTCCAGGAAATTATTTTATTAATCCATAAATAGGGGTACTCCCGCACTGCAAGGGTTAAGTGCTCATTTGTGCCTAGGTTTAAAAAAAAAAAAGTTACTCACCCGAAGCCGGTTTCTTCTTAGACCAGTTCTACCAACGTCTCCCCCCCCTCCTTTGCAGTGGTCTAAGGTCCAGTAAATAATCATGTCTATACACAAGTGTATAGGTGTAAAGACACTGAAGAAGGTTCCAATGCTGCAGGGAGACAGGCAGGAGGGACCGCTGCGACAGCTGGCTGGCTCAGAGCTTCGGGTGAGTAGAATTTTATTTAGTCACCTAGACACAAACAAGCACTTAACTCTTGCAGTTCAGGGGTTGCCCCCACTGCAAGGGATAATCAAAAAAATCCTGGAGTTCTTCTTTAACCCCTTCTCGACTGATGACAGGATTATCCCGTCATGATCGTTCAGTTTGGTAACGACCGGTGACGAGATAATCCCGTCATTCAGTACAATGAGTGCTGGTATGTGTAGGGACAAGTGCTCATTAAGTTACTATTGTTGATGGGTCCGAGGCAGACCTTAAACAGCAGATTAGGTGGTCACAGTCCTGTGATCACAGCGCCGTGACAGTCACAGAGCCGGCAGCAGCTCACTGTGCTTTGTAAACTGCTAGCCGGCTGCGTGTTACAAAAGTATCAAAGCCCATGTAAATAAAAGAAATAACCCCTTAGTGCCCCCTAGGTTTAAAAAAAAATATAATTTAAAAATAAAGTTGTTAAAGTTTAAACAAAAAAATTAAAAATAGTCAGGTTTTTTTTTAAATGTTTAAACAAAAAAAAACAAAAAAAAAGGACAATAGTGCTGGGGAGGCTAATGAATATAGGAGACAAGCATACCACATTTTAAAATTGTTCCACACTATAACTGTATTTAACTCTTTGTATTTTGTGATTGCCAACTCCCAAAATTCAGCTTTAGGATTAGTATTTTAACTTTTTAGCCTTATCTTTCCAAGAGCGCAGATTATTTTATCTAAATTTCAACTCCCAAAATAAACTGAAATGGCAGACATGATATACTCTTTAAATCAGGACACATAAAATAGCTTATTATTAATTACTTTGTCAGCGACACTAATTATGTACATATTATGGTTAAAGATGTGAATTTTTTTTTAAGGTGCAATGCATGGAGAAGACGGAAATTATGGTTTAACACAGCAAAAATGGCAAATTTGCTCCGGCACCCAGAAGGGAAAAAAATTTCTGAAGCTGTGTCACTAAGGGGTTAATTGCACCAAAAATGCTTAAAGCGGACCTGCACCCCAAAAGTAGATTTGCCATCTTACAGGGAAGATCTAGAATAGTTATGCCTAAGAAGGACCCTGAAAGACTGTCTTTAAATGTATATTACTGTAGTATATTAATGTATATTACCTTAAAATGTATATGCAACTTTGCAAATG